ATTCAGAATATCGACGCCGATGCTTTCTACGGAATTAAAGACACGTTGAGCTCGCTCAGTCTGTTGAATAATCTCATTCCTGATTTTCCTACCGGTGCTATCAGCAGTATTCACGACCTCAGGGTGAGTCGTCTCTTTCAAAGTTTAAGGATTAATGATGAAGTTGAAATTAGTGAATTGTGTAAAAATATTTTTCATAATATAAATTTTTATATTACTTTAATATTTTTATATTTTTAATTTTTAATTTTTTAAATATATTTTTTATATTTTTTTATATATTGAAAAATGAATGTATAAAAAAATATACAAATATAAAAGTATAAAAATAGATAAAGTAATAATAATGATAATAATGATAATAATTTTTTTATCTATTCAAAATAGTTTTAAATAGATAAAAAAAAATAGATAAAACATGCTTATAAATTTGACAAATATATGGAATTGGTCCATATTATATATTTTTTAAAATTATTTTTTGGTGGGAAATGTACAAATTTGTTCGCACTTGAAAGACATTTTCAAATATAATTGTTTGACTAATAAATTTTTTTAATGAATTTTTTAACGGTGAATAATCCACTAGTTTCAGCTTAATGAATTAACGCCTACATTTGAAAACAAAATTATGAAAATGGATTCCCTGTAACAGGTACTCGACATTGGTTTCAATCTCATCACAGAACTGCCTGTGAATGCATTCCACAATAATCCCTCCATCACGCTCCTAGCAATCGATGGAAATCCTATGTCGACTGTGCCCGAGGAAGCCCTGGCCACTCTCAATGGAACTCTCCGGGGATTGAGCCTGGGTGGACGATTTTTAGTGTGCGATTGCAAACTCCGCTGGATCGCCAATTGGATAAGAACCAAGGATTTACAAGTCACGAGTCGTGAGAGGAAACCCCAGTTCTGTGGGAGTCCCCTGAGGTTGCAGGAGAGAAGCTTCTATAACATTGATCCTGAAGGTAATTCCATAGCTGACTGACACTAGTATTATTTGAGAGGAGAAACGCTCGACAATTTTCCGTAATTGCAAAGAGAGAATTTTCCATTATAATTTACCCAATTTTCGGATATTTAGGACGTAAAAACGTACCCTATGACAGTTAGAATGTGAATTTATGGAGCTATTCAATGTGGAGAAACCCGAAGACATGATTTCCGGTGCTTGAAAATTCTATAATTGATTGTGGAGAGTAATCTGACTTGTCTAATAAATTACTTTTTTACACTTGGAGATAAAATTCGAATTATCGATAGCTGAAGAGTGGATCCATCTGTGGCAAAGAGGGAATTTCACATTATAATTCACCCCTAAATTTGAGTAATCGTATAATGCACTCGAAATTTCCACAACTCTAAAAAAAAAATTCACTGAGCCCAGTTAAAATGACACTATCCCAGACTGAAAATAAAAATTTCTGAAAGTCTTCGTGTGTAATTCCGAGACGAAGAATGATTATTTTCTAGAAATGGTTTGCGAGAGGCCATCGGAGATAATAGGCATCGGGACAGTGGAGTCAGTAGATACGAAGGAGCCAATGGGTCCAGTAACCGGTGTAGTCGAGGGTCTCCTGCCCACCACGCGATCACCCCCACCGTCGCCAACAACCCCACCACCAATCAGTGAAACAACCCCAAAAGCTGTGTACACGAATGCCACGTACTCCACGTCCTTCACAAGCCCAATATCCACGACTGAAGTCAGACAGACTGACACCCCCTCGACATCTCCGAGAACAGTGAGCACAACGAGTCGTCCGACTGCCGCCAGAACCGGAAACGTAGTTATTGTGAAGACCACCCAGGCCCCAGTGAGAATACCACAGGCTGGAGAACACAGTACAATTCATCAGCACCAGCCCAAGCCGCCCATGGTCTTTGCGTCGTCCGATCAGAGGCCCCTGTACAAGTCGAGGAACACTGATAAGATTATCCTCAAGGAAGTCATCAGGCAGGATAACACCGTGATCATCACCTGGGACAGCCAGTCCCCTAAGGCCATCGAATTCAGGGTAGTCTACAGAGTATTCGGGGATAATGAGTTCAAACAGGCACCACCGCTCGATGCCAGTGAGCGAGAGTTCAAAATCAAGAATGTACCTGATAATGTGAGCAATTCAACAGCTTCTCGTCCATTTCATTGGTTAAATTTGATTTTTTATTTGGGCATTTTAACCCACTCGGTTTACACTGCTATGAAATACTATAGTACAAGGTGATTCCTAATATAGAATTCATGTAATTAACACGAGGGTATTATACCTTAACATTAATTCGCTTCAGGAATAAGTCGATAGCCATAATTACTCGGATATTGAGTGTGCTGAGGAAGACTTTAACATCAAACGGTGGAAACATTTTACCGATCCCAAGTTTGCGAACTAATTCCGAAGGTTCATTATCATGTAGTAGACATTGCCATGAGAAGTGGTTTAAGTCTTCCTCAGGACAACCACATCTACATTTCCCAGTTGCAATAATACCAATTCTAGTGAGAGCTCGTTTTATTTTTTTTATTTTTTTTTTATTTTTATTTTTTAATGGTTATTTTACATCGTTTCGACTCGATGGAGTATATGGCGATGATGATGAAGACTTTAAATGGTTAGATTTCACCATTCAACCCGACCGGGATTTAAACTCCGAACCTTGCGCCCGTGAGGCAACGGCCTTAATCACCACACCAGGTCGTCGAGCAAATTCTATATTGTTTGTAGTGCCATTGAAAATATTCGATGCCCTTGTCAGCTCTGAGTTGGTCTACCTTTTGCTCAGTGATAATGAATGACTCATCTTTAAAGCCCTCTGGAAAATCGGTGACTGGTAGTTTACAGTCATCAATTTAATTTGACTTTTATTCTTATTCTTTGTGCAACAGGAGTGCTTGATCGTCTGCGTTCTGTCCCTCGAAGATTCAAACGTGACTCCCGCCAATGTTCCTTATAATCAGTGCAGAGAGGTTCGTACAGAGCCTTCACCAACCTCTAACATGGATAAAATAACGATAGCAGCGAGTGCAGCTATCTGTGCGACTATCGTAATGGCTGTAATTATCTTTGTGGTGGCTAATCGGAGAAGAGCACGACAGTTGCACACCATTCACAGCCTCGATCAGGCCAAGAGTGGTGGACCAATAGCGGGACTTCCAGTTAACTGTTGCTCCAATGTGGGACCAACACCGAGCCCTGCTGGGCCTCTGGCATCGATGGCCACTCTCAGTGCCTACAATGCCCAGAAAGAGTGGGACCAAGTGTCAGCTTACAGCAATCGCAGCATACCTCGCCCCAGAATATTTCCCATCGATCGCCAAGGTAAATCAATGCTGGGGGAGTTGGGGAGATACAGCTGCTGATTCTCTGTTTTTTCAAGGTTTCATTCAAAATTCCTTCACAGGCTCCATTACCAGGGCCTCGTGCATTGACGATGTGAGATCTCAGGCCAGCCATTATGGCGGTAAAATATCAACGCGTTCAATCGCCGATGGACAGTCACAGCACAGCTTTTCCAACAATTCGTCACGCTACTTTGCAAACACTGCACTTGCTAATAATCTCGTCAATACGCGGCCAGGTTTGTCCTCTCTCTCTATTTTCGATTAATGCTTTGTCGCTTTTTGGCCGGGTTGTTCTAACAGTTTACTTGAGGATATCCAAGTATCATTTTAATTCATGAATTCATAAGGATTTATCTGATTGCTTCACTGAGTACTTTTAAATCTTTATAGAAACTGTTTATAGTCTTTACGAAATTGTGAAAACTACGAGGATATCCTTGAACGGATGTTTCGGCAGGATGAGTTGAATGAATGACATTTACGAGGGACATTTCAGGCATAACAACGCAAGGGCTGGAGGAGAAAATGAAATTTCGGTTGATGAAGTGAACTCACTCTTTTTGCCACTTGAAAATAACACATGAATCTCTGCATTTTCACCACTAACACCAGTACAATCTGCCATTCATGTTAATGTCGTCAATTCCCCATGAACAGAATTACGTCAGTCACGGCAATCACTGGCGGCCGCTTCAGATAGAATGTCACGTAATGGATACCCAGGAAATCATTTACCACCCCATGCATCGGCACGACGTCAACGTCCAAGATCGCGAAATCGTACGATCGAACAAAATCCACCGCCTCGTCCTGGCAGCAGATACAGCCTAGCCGATTCCACTCACACACTCAATAATTATGAGGAAAATAATTGGACGGATCATGACATGGACATCTACATGTCACGAAATCCAACCACGAGAAGTGGTCTCGTACCACTTTAGAAAGTTAACCAATTTTTTTTTTAATTTTTCGTGCATTGCTCAAGAGTGTTCATTAGCAGAGAAAAAAATATTGAAATGAGGGGGTGAGAGTAGTTTTTTAGATGTACTATATAGGACACTTTTGACTACCGAGTCAATTTTGGGACCTTTAGGATATTAAAACGTAGGATTACAGTTAGAATGTGAATTTATGGAGTTATTCAATGTGGAGGATCTCGAAAGAATGATTTCTGGTGCTTGAAAATTCTATAATTAATTTTAGAGAGTTATCTAACTCGTGTCTAATGAATAACTTTTTTATACTTGGAGATAAGACTCGAATTATCGATAGTTGGTGAGTGGACACAGATATTTAGTGAAATTTTTCATCGACAATAAGCAAATAGCAAGCCACTCTACCTTAATCCCTCCAACATGACAAGATTATTGTTAAATACTCGTCAAATGTTTAATCAGTGACATGTGGCTCTTCCAAAGACTGTAGTACTCCTGAATTAATGGGATTTCTGCACAAACTCTTCATTTATACTAATTATAAATAATGTTTTTTTTAATAAAAATCGATTAAAGAGTGTACGTGAATTTTAACGTGAGAAAATAATGAATGATTGTAACGTTATTAATTCCAGTATTTGTAAATTGTGTACTGTTGAATCAAATATACAAGTGCATTATTCGTAATAATGATGAATATTTGAAGGGAGATTGCTTACCCTGGGATGAGAATGGTCCGTTCCCACCGGAAACGAATTTCCTGGACAAATTCATGCCAGAGTTGAGCCAGAGCGAGTGCACCTCCCAAGTTGTGGGCGCAGTGAGCTGCTACTATGGCTAATCTCCAGACCAACCCCTCCAGGGCGCACGTTTTTACACCTTTCCACAAATCATCATCACCACTGTAGCTGTTCATGTCACCATACGGAGATTTCTAGAGAAAAAACAAAATAAATTCTTCAATTTTCCATTTAGATGATCACATTGTCGATAAAATTGTGCATAGATTGGACTCACTGGTCTCTCCTCAGCATCAGGGAATAGAAAATAAAGAATGGAGATCATGACCTCCTCAGCAATTGGTCCATCCACATTTTTGCTGTTCTTCCTTGGAACTTTATTCACAACTTTGGAAATCGTTGGAATACTGGATTCTGTCAGTCTGTTGAATGCAGAACTCAGGATCTGGTCTGAATTATCCATGTAGGCTGCAGCATCCCCGAGCATGTCTACGAGACTCCTCTGATTGCTGCAGAGGGCCAGGAAGTCTGTCAGGTATTCCCCCAGGAGACAGGCAGGCGAGGGAACCATTTTCACCACTGCTGACCACTCTGGCGCCAGTTGGGGCTCCAAATCACTGAAACTTTCGCTGTCTATCACGACGTTCTCGGCCATTTGGGGCCAGGTCGTGAAGAGCTTCAGTTCTCTATAAACAGAATCATTTTGAGGAATTCACAGCAATTTTTCTGGATCATTGAGTGTGAGGGATTATTCTAATGTTTTTACCCGACTGGATCGAATGTAGCTCCGAAGGGCAGTTTACCGAGTTCAGCGACACCGACAGTCTCCCCCTGCATGAAATCAAAGTCAGGGGGTTCTTGTGTCCAGGTGTGATTCGTCCAGTCCTTCAACAAATACGAGAATCTCACAGAGACCATCACTGGGTCCAGACGGATGCCACAACCGTCACTGACTTTTTGTTTAAAAAGTGCTAGTAAGCCTGGAAAGATAACAATAAATTAATTAAAATAATGATTTAAATTTGTGGAGAAACCTTTTAGATATATATTTTTACTCTTATTTAATCGAGAAAAAAAAGTCTCAATACTGATGTTGTGAGATAGAAACAATTTAATTTTTAATTTTAATTAAATGTTAAAGTTAATTTGAATATTGAGTTAAGAAACAATTCTGCAGGAAATTTTCAACAAGTCTCGACATTTCTCTTTAGACTTTCAAGTGAATAAGTGAACAATTGGCAAAATAGACTTTTTAGCTTGGAAATAAATCTTTAGTAAATACCAGTGAGATGTCGACAGTGAGGAGGTGTTTTCTTCAAATGCACCATGTCTAAATGCGTCATTGTTCCCCTTCCAACACTAATGCCAAGGTAAAACTGTTGCCATAACTCCTGAGCTTGCACCAGTGCTGGTATCTCACTAGAAAATATCATTATAAATTCCTACAAGTCTCGAGATGAATTAATCAATCGTTTTCCTCTTCTTTCCATTACCAGTTGGCATTGTTAGCTGCGATGGTCAACGAACTAATCAGAATTTTAATCTTCGTTTCGTCTGTGATTGCCATTCGTTTGGCTGGAGCCAAAACTATGAACTCTCTGAGCCCATAGTATTTAGCTATTTTCATGTGATCCTTGTCGATCCTGAGGAAGTCGTTGGAGATGTTGAGGACATCAATGTGGGCTTGAGTACTCAAATCTTCACTGTCGTCTAACGCATCTTCCTCTTCTCCCTCTTCCTTTGTTTGCAGTTTGTAGTGCTTGAGAACGAATCCCACGTCTGGAAAAAATTTACACAATTCGCAATTCACAAATCATCAATTCCCATTCTTAAATTATAAATATCTCCTTATTAAATAATCCGATTTGAACGAATTAAATCTCATTTCTCATTTTAATATGAGTGGATTATCTTTCGAACGTTATCTCGATTGTTTTTCCATCTTCATAATGCAAAATATATCACAATTTCCAGTGGGTTTTACGCTCGTTGAAAATGTTCAACTTTTTTCAACGTTTTTTTGATTGTGCAATCATCATTTTTGGAGACTCCAGGGCTATGTAAAACTAAATAGTAACTGGAGATCATTTCAAATAATCAATTCCCATTCTTAAATTATAAATATCTCCTTATTAAATAATCCGATTTGAACGAATTAAATCTCATTTCTCATTTTAATATGAGTGGATTATCTTTCGAACGTTATCTCGATTGTTTTTCCATCTTCATAATGCAAAATATATCACAATTTCCAGTGGGTTTTACGCTCGTTGAAAATGTTCAACTTTTTTCAACGTTTTTTTGATTGTGCAATCATCATTTTTGGAGACTCCAGGGCTATGTAAAACTAAATAGTAACTGGAGATCATTTCAAATAATCAATTCCCATTCTTAAATTATAAATATCTCCTTATTAAATAATCCGATTTGAACGAATTAAATCTCATTTCTCATTTTAATATGAGTGGATTATCTTTCGAACGTTATCTCGATTGTTTTTCCATCTTCATAATGCAAAATATATCACAATTTCCAGTGGGTTTTACGCTCGTTGAAAATGTTCAGCTTTTTTCAACGTTTTTTTGATTGTGCAATCATCATTTTTAGAGACTCCAGGGCTATGTAAAACTGAATAGCAACTGGAGATCATTTTAGATTCCCAAAATAAAAAAAACAATCAAGCTCACGTTCGAAAGATAATCCACCTGTGCCTTAAACTAAAAAAATCCTGAAGATGAAAAAAATTCGGCAATTTCTACTGACGATTGTTGAGACGTACCTGCGAAGTTCAATTCTTCAGATTGCTCGTCCCACGATAAATTAACAAAGTCTTTAGGCTTCAAGGGGGGTCCAATCTTCATCTGTGGGAGCTTCCACTCGTGCATTATTTCCTCCAATCTCGCGATAAACACTTCCCACTCAGTGGCAGTCGTGAAATCATGATGATAAAAGTCTTCAATCTCTACGTTTTCCATATTAACAAGTCATGCATTCGAGCCTCAGTATTTATAGTTTAAGTTGAATACTCCGGAAATATGTTTCACTTCGGACGATTGTTTTCGTCCAACTGACAACAGCTGACAATGGAGACCTAGCCTTCTCCAACTGACGTACAAAAGAGGCAGGCACCTTCTTTACCTGCAACATCCAATGATCAACACATGTTCCATCAAGTTTGTTTGACTCCAAACGTTTTCATAAGGTTAGAAAATAAATTCTATTTACTCATCGAAGACTCATCCGGCGAACAGAATAAAAAGAGAGAGTGAAGCACGTTTGATTCATCTCGAAGAGCTTCGACTTGAGAAATGTCTGGTGAGGATTCTCCTCTGGAGGAGGACGAAACCGAGGTCCTCGTGTACGTCGAGTTCGAGGGGACAGCCCGGAGAGACGTTTTCTCCAACGAGAAACTCCAGTTGGATATGATCGGCCTAGACATGGAGCATCCAGTCATGAGGGTGAATGGTCGAGTGAGTCATTTTTCGTGACCTCTAATTGTTCTTGCGTCATTAACGTCTATCATCTTTCGAATGCTATCTAAATTGATTTCTAAACCTGTAGAAAGTTTCTGTTTGTGGTGACAAGAATTCTTTGAATTCCAAAGAATTTTCAAGTGAAGTCTACAAAAAGATGATATGGGGGAGGGTGGGGTAAAATGGACACTTGAGACTTTTTAAAAATAATTTATAACTCAGAAACAAATTTATGATTTGAGCTCAGTTTAGGCTCGTCACAAAGGGAAAGAATTGTTCTTTGTACTGAAAAAAAAAAATTATTAAATTTCATCAACACTTTAACCCCTCATTAATATTTTTAAAAAAGTCAAAAGTGTCCGTTTTACCCCACCCTCCCCTAGGGTAAATAAAATCCAAGGGGAAGATCTAATCCCAAGGGGAAGATGAATCCATAAATTGCTGATTTCCATCTGAATTCATGTCATTTGTAGTTCTTCCTCTTCAATTTCTATCCTCAGGGATATTTTCCTCAACACTTTCATGCAGATGGTCATTTCAATTACAGTATTATGAAGGAACGTATGAGGATGCGGTTGGAACCTACATGTTCTTCGAGAAGGAGAAGAACCCAGTGGTCGATGACCCAGTGTTTGACGTGCCACCGAAGCTAAAATACTCCACGAAGACGAGAAAAGTCCTGAAGATGAAGCGAGTATTCGTTAAACCCAGACTGGACGTTATGGAGGATTCGAATCACTCCCAGTCTGTTCCGAATTTAGAAGCACTCAAAGAGGCTGGTGTTCCACCGAATTATCAGGAAGAAGGTGCTTATTTACAATTCCTCATCACCACCTGTACCTGTAGCCATGCAACCAGTCATTTTAATTTTCACATGAAATTTAATTATTCATTATTATTCTCCATTATATCTTACGTCGACTGAATGCAAACTTGAAAGCATATTTTATTTTTCTGCACAAATAACCATTTGATTTTATTACGTAAAATTCTCAAAACTGAAACGACAAACTCACAACGATTCGAAATATATTTTCTTTCTCACAAAGACTCTATTCAATTCGCCTAGAAAAATACCAGTTTGCTTCGTTAGTCAGGTCCTGCAGACCTCGTGTCAAAGTTTACGACAAACACATGTTGTACATTTTCCTATAATTCTCTCTTTTCAACTTATACCGAAAGCAAAATCTCTGCTCAGCCATGAAAATCTTAGCCAAAAGAAGTCAGTTACGAAGGAACCGCGACATCGAACACTACTCCGACTTAAATATTTCAAGACCAGTTATTTCGTATTAGTGCTCCAATAAAATCAATGATATTTTATTTTATTTTTTAGACAATTATTAGTAGACAACGTATAAATAAAATCGGTTAGTGTTTTATAAGATTAATAGAATCGAATTACTTTATTTTTCGTGAATTACATGTTTTCTTTTTGTTCGATAAATAACCATTGACCAGTGACCATTGACAATGTAAAATAATAAACTGACATAAATATTCTAATGTTCTACATAAATTATAAACAAGCGTTCAAGTGAATAAAATCAGTGTCTCAAGTTTCTTCAATTAAAAATTACCGTTCATTTAAGCTCATTATAATCTGAGGAATTTTGGGATGAACACCAGCCTCACTAGTTGACCTTTTAATCGATGAATTGCTTGCCATTATCTTTCACAGCTCTGAACCTCTGGAAGGAGATGCGAGAGGAGCGCCTGGAGGCCTTGAACGAGTACCTGGAGAAGCAGAAGATTCGAGAGGAGAAGAGACAGAAGGGAATTGAGCCAGATTCAGAATCCGACGAGGAGAGTCCGTTTGCCATGTACAAGACTAAAACGAATGATGGAGAAGTGTCACCTGCCACTGGGGATGCATCAGCTGTGATTGATCCAGGCCCCTCTACCTCGAAGGGCAACATTTCCCCACTCGACCCTGAACCCAACGAAAATGCTCAATTACCAAAATCGTCTTCACAAATAAAAAACCAAGGATATCTCCAAGTTTACTCGAGTCAGAGGGCTAAGAGGCGAGTGAAGAAGAAGCCAGAAAATACTAAGGACTCTCGCTCTAAGAAAGATTGTGCGGGTGGGCAGGTGGGGGTAAGTGAATCTGCACCACGTGATGACGATCACCAGTCCAAGATCTCTGAGAAAATTCCTGGAGAGCCCCAAAGAGAGGATGGAGGATCTGAAGAGTCTGAATCCGATGCGATGAGTCACACCTCAGAGGCTAATTTGCAGGGCGATGATGTTAAATATATCTCTGATAAGAAATTAGATAAGGAAATGAAACGCCAGGCGAAAATTAGGGAGATTTCTGAGAGGCTGAAGAGGACAGCTGATGAAATTAAATCCAAGACGAATCCGTAGGGGACTTTTTTTACTTGAAGTCTTGTCAGTTTTGACTCTTTTCCTTCAATTTCCATTCCAATGGATATTTTTTCGTCAATGTGTTCATGTTGATTCGTGTTTATTGCGGTTTTCAGTGCATTCAAAGTTCGTTTTGTTTATTAAATTAGAGCAGTCATCATATGAAAAGTGAAAAGGAGATGAAGAAACTCATGGCAAATTAGATTTCGACGTCATGAGTTCAAAACTAGGGCTGAAAACCTAGGGCGAGGATTGAATCCAAGATGAATCCATAAAAGATTCATTTCCATCTGAAGTCATGTCCTCTTTCTCTTCAATTTCCAATCTAACGGCTATTTTTTCTTCAATATGTTCCTGCAAATTTGTGTTCACCGCAATTATTTGTGTTTTAAAAAAATGATTTCGTTCGTTAATTCAAGATTCATCGAGTTTAAACCAATTTACATTAAAGGCCTATTAAATTGGAGCAGTGGGTTATTATATGAAAAGTGAAAAGGAAGATTAAATCCAAGATGAATCCACAAAAGATTCATTTCCATCTGAAGCCATGTCCTCTTTCTCTTCAATTTCTAATCTAAAGGATATTTTTCCCTCAATATTTTCCTGCAAATTCGTGTTCACTGCAATTATTTGTGCCTTTAAAAAATGATTTCATTCATTAATTCAAGATTCATCGAGTTTAAACCAATTTACATTAAAGGCCTATTAAATTGGAGCAGTGGGTTATTATATGAAAAGTGAAAAGGAAGATTAAATCCAAGATGAATCCACAAAAGATTCATTTCCATCTCAAGTCGTCTCCCTTACTCTTCTATTTCCAATCTAACAGTTATTTTTTCTTCAATATTTTCCTGCAAATTCATGTTCACTGCAATTATTTGTGGCTTTAAAAAATGATTTCGTTCGTTAAATCAAGATTCATCGAGTTTAAACCGATTTATCCCAAGCCCTATTAAATTGGAGCAGTGGGTTATCGCGTAAAAAAAATGATCCAATGAAAGTTCACGCTAGGGATTCGTATTCTTTGGTAATAGGGAGGAAAACCCGGAAATATGTACAGAGGAGCCCGCGTCGACATTGGCGCAGCAAAATAACATGTGATGTCACGCTAAACTGACTCTGCCAATTTCAAAATCATTTTAATACGAGTGTTACGCTTATGCCATAATTGAATCGAGGGTATCCTCCTGAGGGCTTCGACACCGTCAATGACTCCCAGTAACGTGTGGGCTACGATGCAGCCACAAGCCGACGTTCAGTTTAAAATTCCCTTCATTTCCCCGACCTTTTACAAAATACTGAAGAGATAGGCGTTATCAAATTTTAGAGATCTTATCAATTCCGGTAGTTTCGTTTATTCTTGTATCAACAATTCGAAATACCAAGTGTAAACACCACAGGCCATTAAGTATATTATTTTCCAACAGAAGTGCCTGAAGCTCTGATAAGAAAAATTATTCAATCGAAAGCCAAATGACACGAAAATGCGACGAGATTTTATAAATTTATAGCAACGCTGTGATGCTGTGCATCGAAATTAAATCGAAAAGGTGAATAAAATTCAGGAAAAAAATATTTTACGTGCGAGAATGTCATTTTCGAATTCATAGGATAAAAGTGATGTGATCATCCACCGGTAAAGGTCCAGTGGGTAAAATGAACCGAATTATTTCAAAAAATGTTGAGGTGTGATGAGAACACCAACAATTCAGTGAGGAAAAAAAATCGCCTGCGTACGGAGATAATGGAAAAATAGGTGAGAAATTGGCGATTAAAATTCATTTGCGATATCATCAGCGCGTGAAAATTCAACGGACCAATGGGATGTCTCCGCCATATGGCAAAGCGGTGGTAGAAAGGTGCTGAGCACGTGTTAACCCAGTCAATGTCCGAAATAGGCGCTATATACGTCGTTCTCTCCACTTCCCTCCACGTGTGCCTTCAAAAATTCTGAGACATTGCGGAGCGAATGGAAATTATCTCGACATTTGTCGACAAGCTGTCGGCCGGTCAACAGCTTTCGTAGCTGTCTTTATTCGTCGGTTGCTTGTTCCACTCGTTGTCAAGGCTGGAAGGAATAAAAGAGTTTTGTAAAATGCCAGACAAAGTCGCACCGGCCGAGAGGCAAATTCGTTCGAGTAAGGGGAAGGAGATGCAGAGTGTCAAATTGAAGAAGGAGTTGGGATTGCTGGATGGTGTTGCCATTATCGTGGGTGTTATCGTCGGATCGGGGATTTTTGTGTCGCCCAAGGGGGTTTTGAAAAATAGCGGCAGTGTCGGCCTCGCCATCATCGTCTGGGTTTTCTCCGGGGTATTATCACTCATCGGAGCACTATGTTATGCAGAACTCGGTGAGTTTTATTTCATTTCGTATTTTCGAGGGCAATCAATTTTCAGTTGAAAGTAACATTCGTTATGTTTGAATAATCGGTAATTTATTGCTGGAGTCGGCCGGCGTCTGCTTCGAGCGCCCGGCAACGTGCTCCGCAACTTGCATCACCTCACGCCGCACCGATGCTGCACCTTTCTACCTGAGTTTCTAATCGCTCTCCAGTTTTTACTACTTTACTCGTTTCAATGTACTCTCGAAGTGATGAATTTATGGCTTGTTTTTTTTTATTTCGATAATTTGAAATGATCTCCAATTGATATTCAGTTTTACGTAGCCCTGGAGTCGCCGAAAATTGTGATTTTGCAATAAAAAAAACGTTGCAAAAAGCTGAACATTTTCAAAGAGCGTTTTTGAATAATATTGGGGAATAAACCCGGTAGGGAGGAAATTGCAAATTAATAATTTGATGTATCTAATGGCTGTTAGGTCGTTATTTGTCGCAGTAGTTAATGACTTTCAGACCGTTAGTTACCATGATAAATTATCCATTCACTATTTCCTCTCTATCGGACTTATTTCTCAATCTTTATTGAAAACGCTCTTTGGAAATTTCAGTTTTTTTTCTACTTTTTTTTATTGTACAATCCAACGGAAATTGTGATATATTTTGCATTATGAAGATGGAAAAACAATGGAGATAACGTTCGAAAGATAATCCACCCGGACCTTAATTCATCTTTTTTTTTCTGCAATGGTATTGACAAAATAAATATCTCTTATTCCGCACGTCTTCGATGCACGTGGGAATATTTTTTAATGTAATATTTTAAGTGAAATCGTAATAATGCGTTCGAGAGTCGTTAAAATTATCTGCCGCTGAGGTAAGCTACGCTCAACATTTTGCGGGCCTCATCGATCCGTTGCACGGTGCAATGCACTCCCTTAGCTACTCCAAAAATGACATTCTTTGGTAAAGCAGATGTGTACACTGAGAAAAAAAATTATTTTTGCCAAATATTCAGTTACTTGAGAGAAGCCTTTATTTTTAAAAAATCGTATTTTTCCTGTTGAAAGTCCCATTTTTCCCAAATTTCTTATTTTCTGGAGACAACAATTTCCATTAATTTTTTAATGTCGATAATTACGGAGGGGACGCACTAAAAGTGATAACTAATACAATATAACTAATGCAATATAATTGTCCGTAATTGCCAAAAATAATTTTTTTCTCAGTGTATTAACGAAAATTCTGTAGCGAAGCGAAGAAACGATTCAAGTACTTTTGACTGTTGGCCAGTTATCAATGGATATCTCGGAATCTAAGGCAAATAGCGAAATTTTCGTCATGAGCTTTTTTGAAGAGCGAATTAACAGCTACAAAAAAGGTGATTACAAAAATTTCGCTATCTCCCTCAGATTCGGAGATATTCCTAAAAAATCAGAAGTCGCTTGAAATGAAAATGAAAAAATTATTGAATTTTGATTCCGTTGAATTTTAGGTACAATGATACCGAAATCCGGCGGGGATTACGCCTACATAAGTGAGGCATTCGGTGGGTTACCGGCGTTTTTGTATCTCTGGGTAGCGTTATTCATCCTAGTACCGACTGGGAATGCAATAACAGCATTAACATTTGCTCAGTATATATTGCAGCCACTCTGGCCCGGCTGCGAACCGCCTCATGAAGCTGTGAGACTACTCGCAGCAGTTGTGACGTGTAAGTTCCCCAATTTTTCGAATTTAGATTGACAAATGAAACGCGAGAACGAAGTACAGAATTCGTACTGTCGAATCAATACTAATTGTTTTGGTCTGCAAACAGGTTTATTGACAGCGATCAACTGCTACAATGTCAAATGGGCAACCAGGGTACAAGACGTATTCACCGGGACAAAAATATTCGCACTGATAATCATTATAGGAACTGGATGCTACTATTTTTCCACGAACGATTCAGTACCTTTTTCTCAGCCCATGAAAGGGACTAATACCGAACCAGGGTATCTGGCTCTGGCTATTTACTCGGGGCTTTTTTCGTATTCTGGATGGAATTACTTAAATTTTGTCACTGAAGAGCTGAAGGACCCCTACAGGTAAACATTAAATACATCGCCAACTTTTTTTAGATTTACGAGAATTAATGGATTTAAATCAGGATATGAATTTTATTTTATCGAGGAATTCGGTAGAATTACGTCTGAAAAGCACTTGACAACTTAAACTCTAGTGGTTCGGGGTAGTTTTGGAACAACGATTTGAATTGTTGAGGGAAAAATATCCAGGAATTGCCTGGTCTATTAAAAATCTAAACGAAATTAGAGGGAAATTCGGTGTCCACCGAAAATTCCTTGAAAAAAATATTTCGGAAAATATTTTTTAGGAATAAAAGTCCTGTGAAGTATTTACTTTTGAATAAGTGACTCGTGAAGAATTATTGCAGAGGAAAATATAACAAATAACAAATTTTAACAGTGAGGTAAATTATGGAATTTGTTTTTCTGGAAAAAATTTCAATTGATTGATTTCAATTTCAATCTGATTTATGAAAATCATCACAATTCAATTTCACCTTACATCACAACAGTCGAGACTAGAGTAAACATCGTGTGAAATTGTGAATTTATTTGCAGTATTTTTAGTGTCAGTTGTTTTTTCTTCATCCTTGTTGTCATGCGCCATTATTCTCATCCTTTTTTCCGTTTTTTGTCGCGAATTTTTTTCCGAAATATCATTTTTACGAGGAATTTTTTCCGAAATATTATTTTTCCGAGGAATTTTTTCCGAAATATTATTTTTCCGAGGAATTTTTTCCGAAATATTTTTTCCTAGCATTTTTTTCCCAGAGGATTTTCGGCGGGAGCCGGAAATTCAATTGGAGGACTTTTGAAAGCCACGCGCTGTCGAAAAATAAATGAGTATGATGAGTCTTATTCCTCTCTCCAAATCATCCACACGAACATATTTTCCCTGGAAAATTCGAGTATAAGGGGTAACCTATGGCCACGATGTTCATTATATTCCTCAATTTTGGAGTGCTTTGAGGACTCTGGGGGTATTCAAAAGCCCGTGAATAGTCTGCTACAACAATAGGCGCCAGCCCCCTGAGAAACCTCACTCGTCGGTCATTCTGTCCTCGGAGAGCATAAAACTCCCTTTTCTCGAAATAAAAAAACGGAGAAGACCTTGCGTTGAATAACCTCTCCGGCTGAAAAGATTTTCTGAAGCACCATAACAAATATACCTGTCGTCCCAGATTGACCCGAATTTACTCCCCTATTGCCTCTATTATTCAAACTGAAAAATGTTTTTTTCTGCTTTCAGAAATTTACGAAATGCCATTTGCATCTCTCTGCCACTCATCACCGTGATTTACGTCTTGGTGAATCTCGCCTACTTCGCTGTACTCTCTCGAGACGATATTTTGGCGTCGAATGCAGTGGCAGTGGTGCGTCAACTATTAAATTTCCCGTTTATTCCAGGGAACGTCATTTTATTTATTCACCATTCTTCGATACTTTCAGACCTTCGGCGATAAATTACTCGGAGTTATGTCTTGGATAATGCCAGTGTTCGTTGCCTGTTCGACATTTGGTGCTTTGAACGGTGCAATTTTTGCATCGTCAAGATTATTCTTCGTTGGGGCTAGAAATGGACACCTTCCAAATGCTATTGCGCTAATAAACATTCAAAACTTGACACCAATGCCATCGCTCATATTTCTTGTGAGTAGACTGAGATTGTTTTACTTTTAGACAGTACGTAAGCACTTTGAGTGCCTGTGGCATTCGTCTATTCCCCATGGAAGATTAAATACTTCTTGGAAGAACGTACACGAATTACTTTCATTAGTGGTTCTTGTTCCTTCATAAAGTATGCTAATCGCATTGGGAGATACTCAATTGCTGCTTTCATCTGGCGACTCTTTGTCGTTTCGTAGAACGGATGCTGGGATACAGCCCGTCCCTTTGTCGGCCAATTTGCGCATACACAGGTCGCACATTGCTCGTATTAACTATTGAAAAACTATTTTCGATGGCGAACCCATCGACTAGTATGATTGAGAGGCTGTCCAAATGTTTTTAATGGCATTTCACTTTCCCTTTGAGAATACTACGGGTGCAATGGGTTTGTGTGGAGATGTGTGGGCTCTCAGTACATGCTGAGCTAAATTATCGCTTCCGTTTGCAGTGCATTATCACACTGGCGCTGCTGATAATAGAGGACGTCTATGTGCTGATAAATTACGTGAGCTTCGTTGAGGCTCTCTTTACAACACTCTCAGTCTCTGGGTTACTGTGGATGAGGCACACGAAACCTGATCTTGAGAGGCCTATCAGGGTAATTTTTTTGTTATTCTTTGATTAATAAATCCAATAGAAAACACAGTGCTGTCGCTGAGAATTTAGATTGAGTTTGTACTGGGATTCGTTAGAAATTCTATTTGTTGTTCGGTAATTTTGCAACAGATGTTGATTTTTCTGGAAAAATTCGGAGAAAAAACGTTCAAGACTTTCGTAGGGAAAGTTTGAAAAGAATGAGTCAGGAGAGGAATCAAAATCTGTTGTGTAAATGTTTTAATTTGCCTCAGGTATCAACACCACTTCCAATAGTCTTCTTGCTCATCTGTCTATTCCTCGTGGCATGTCCGTGCTACGTAACTCCATGGGAGGTAGGAATTGGTATGATAATAATAATTTGTGGGATACCAGTATACCTGATATTTATCTGGTGGAGGAACAAACCGAAGTGGCTGATAAACTCATCTGGTAAGTGTCCACAAACAGCAATAACTTCTCGGCTATTGGAATTGAATTGCTAATTTTTTCGCTTCTTCCAGAGAAATTCAACACATCATGCGCAAAATTATTCATGTGTGTCCCCGAAGAGAAGGACGACTAGTAGAGAAGAGAACATTTTGTTGCATGGTACAAATTGCAAGTTCTCCCACTCGGTTGCTGGGTCATCGACAATGGGAAGTATATTTGGCCATTGATAAAACTCAATTGTAAATTGTAGTTGTGAATCTCTGATTGGGAACTGCTGGGGCCAATTCAGTTCATAGGTTGTTTATAATTATAAGAAATGCCGTTGTGCTCGAGAAATCGTCGAGTAGACTTTGCATCGTGGAATGATAACTACTTTTTACTCTGCATTTGTGATACTGAGAGTTCAAAAATCTCGGATTTCAATTAAGAATGCCTTCATCCTCTCGGCTAGGGAGACACTGGGGGGAAATTTTTGCTGATCTTTGTAGATGAATTTGTACAAAAAGGTGGACGCATAATGTTTGACATTCCAAAGCATATCGCAGACAATAATTTTTATTCTTTTTATAATATATTAGGTGACACTGCTCTAGTAGTTAAGACTGTACGCATATTTGAGCATTCCTCGCGGGATGGTTTATAAATGAATCTAATATATTTATTAAGTCGATTTTTTTCTCGTTTTTTGGGACATAATTATTTATTTGGCACATACAGTATAATACTTATTTGTAATACATTATGACTAGGTTTTTTTTCATTTGAAGACGAATCATTGCACCATTATCGTTATTTTCTCACACAATGAGGCGATTATTTCGCGTTCAGCCCATATATCTTTAATTTAAAATAAGCTTCTTTATATAAACATTTTTGTATTGTAGCTGGAAGCCAATATGATATGGATTCTAGAATTATTTATCATTCAGTAGATTGAAAATTTACATTTTTACTGCTAACGTAATTGTAATAACAGGGAAAGTGCCTTTCCAAAAATTTGGACGATAAATCCTGGAAAATTTATAATTACTGATCACGCATGTTACTCTAATCATCGTATGTGATACAAAGGAATTTGGCAGCCATAAAAAACTAGAACAACATCTTTCTTTTTTTCTATCAATAAAAATTGTCGCGCAAAAAGCGGATTTTCTATGACGAATCGACAATATAATTCCTTTTTTTCCTGGATTAAAAAATAGAGGTAGGGATGAATTTCAATGGCTGAAGAGTTCAATGTTTGGTCGCATCCTGCGGTTAATGCTTGTCGTTTCGAGTTTGCTCGAGGCTGATCAACCCTCAGCGAGCGGTGGAGTCACCCAGCCATATTTTTCGTGGGTTTTTACGAGACTTCTGAAGGACTCCTCCGCTGAACGACGATTGAATTCTTTATTCGTCTTTGGTTTTCTCGCCACTCGTCCCTAAATTCCAAATTATAAACAAAATAATGCTTTATTATTGGGCTTTATTGCATTTTATGGGCTATTGCACATTTCCATTCCGTTTTTTTTTTTCATTTTTTGAAAGTAAATTTTCTCAGAATGTTATTCTTGCAACAGCACTTGAAGTGTAATAAAGACCAGTGATAGGCATATAAATCAATCACAATTACCGTTAAATTGTGAAGTTGTCAATTTTTCAACTTTACAACATCTTAAAAATTTTAACTATTAAATAAACCATCAATTTGTACATTTAAATTTCGAAATATTCCATCAACCAATAATTAGATAATCGAAAATCAAGTACCTAAATTTGGAATTAGCTTGTTAACTAAAAAATTACATTTCAGTGTTATCAAATATTTTATTCACCATCAATCGGAAAATTTAGCTAATAAATTCTATAATATTTTCAATTTGTTAAATACAGTTAAACTTTGAACAATATAAGGAGATAATCCGTTTTCAGTATTGTTAAAATCTAATATTAGTGCCTGTCCCTGATAGGGGATAATGAAGTAATGAAAATAATGGATTCTTCAGAAGTATGAAAATAGAGAAATTAGTACTGACCTGTCCCTTCACAATGCTCGCGGCAAATTGCGTAATGACGGCCTCAATGGTGTAGGCACTCGCCCATCCACGTGGAGTCAACAGTTCCATACATATTGCGCCGCCTTCCATTACGAAACCCTTCTCTATCCTCGGCGATATGACCCTCATGAAGGGCGGTGCGAATGGAAACGTCTCGGGGAAGATGACGTGTAATAATATGTGGGGGATATCGAGTTCCCTCATGTCAGCGGCCAGCTCACTCTCAGGGTCGATCTTGTGGAGCCTCACGTGCCACTCGAAGAGATTGTCGTTCACTAGCTCAGCGGTGAACGTCGACTCCCGACGGTGCTGACTCCGCTGAATTTCACTGAGCTCCTTCATTAGACGGCGAAGGCGCACACCGCGCTCCGGAATGTTTATGGGGGGCTGATATTTTCGGTTAATTTTTTATATCAATTTCTAGGATTTATGTGAATTGAAAAATTCTGTGAATTCGCTGGGGAAATCTATTGGATTTCTATTGACTTTTCTATTAATTTTTCCATTCTTTACTCTTTTAAAACGGCTTCTGGAAGTGATTTAAAGATGTTTAGCCAGTGGTGGTAAATTGTCGGTGAATGGGTTCTTTTTCATTCGCAGTAAAAACTATTAATAGTTCGCAGAAAAAACTATTAAGCTCCACAGCTCAATGGAAATGTTCAATTGAAAATATTCTATAGAAAAAATTAATAGAATTTTCTATTTCTATGCAACTTATTCTACTAAAATATTTTCTATAGAAATTTATGTGGAGGAATAATATTTTAAAAAAAATTTCAAATATTTTAATTTTTCAATTTGAAAAAATTTTTTTTTTTATTTCAAAGAATTATTCCAACCATTCCAAGAAAAATTTCCAACCGCTCGTATAAATTTATTAAAAATCTCTCTCATTAGGCCATTTATGCGGTCATCATTGGAAATACTAATAATTAATAGGCAGAGGATGTTACTAAAAAAAATTAAATTCTACTGATTTTTTCTATAAAATACCTTCGGAATTCCACTAGAATTTTCAACAGAAGAAATCAATAGAATTTTCTATGAAATTCATTTGGCTTCTCTACGAACTTTCCTCGGAAACAAATTGATCAATTGAGTTTAGTCTCCCCCAAAATGAATGAATTGAAAAAAGAATTCTCCAATTTCATCAAAACATTCACTGAATCCCCCCGATAAAGAAAAGTCATAAGTCCTCATCTCGCCCGACGCGACGTCAAAAAAAATTTACCTGCGAGCAATTTCCGCTCTTTTTCGACTTGAAAAAACAGCTCCCGGTGTGGCTGGTCCCCGGATTATCCGGCAGATTCCCATCGGAGGGTGTCACAGCGTCTGGCCGATGATGCCGACTCAGAATCCTCCTAGAAGGTGAACTGCTCGAGCTGCTGGCACCCTCCTGATCGCTGATCTTCTCGGACGCTCTGAAGATCTTCCTGAACGCCGCGACAACTTTCTCCTTCGACCTCGTCGTCATTTCTGTCCGTCAACGCAACGCTATTGGTATTTCCTTGATTATCAGTAGTCTTGAGTCCCTGTTAGCTCCGTCCCTAGGCTGAAATTAAATCCTCATGATTAACAGCTGGAATCGCGGACCAGTCCATCACCAACACCGCTCAACTGTATTCTCATCGACAATGGGAGTAAAAAATTCGGGGAACGAATGCGATTCTATTTTTAATAGTTCCGTCCTCATTCGTTCATATCGAAATGAATAACAAGACTGATAACGCGCTCATCTCCTTGGCAACTCTAGTCACAGTGTTGCATTTCACATTTATTCATAAACACTCGGATCACTTTATTTAATGAATCATAATCCAAGTAAAGCCGTTCGTCGGTATTTTCGTTTAATTTCCTCTCTCCTAGGCCTTATGATGCAGAATTCGGGCGAAAATAACACTTGTTTTGTTAAGAAAGGAAACAACTTCAACATTCTGAACATTCTTCACATCAAACATGAACTCAGAGGAGTCTTACCCATATCTTTTCAGAGGGTCTCGGGGAATGCTCGTTAACTCATCATTTGAGACGCAGAATTACGGAAAAAAAATCATGGAATTGTCTTCACCATCTGCAAATGATGCGAAAAGAGTACCCAGTACCCGGGTGGCTGGTGCGCGCAGTCTCCGGACTCATTGAACACCGCAGTGGCCGCGGACTGGACGAGAAATTGACTATAACGTCGACAGCGTTGGAGTGAAGTGGCCCAAAAGCACTAAGCAAAGTGCCAAGGGGGATAAACCGACGCACACCGGAGTTATACTTCGTTGCTGTGGCCACACACGACGAACCATCCACTCGATTCAACGCTGGGGGGTGGATGGGTGAGAGTCTTGCATATCGATCCGAAATGCTTGTATTGTCGGTGTTAAATGGTGTATAACGACGAGCTGTTGACGTCGAGGACGCGAAGGACGACACTTGAGATTCGATCCTGGGAGGCTTATTGACCAAGGTCCTCGAGGATCAAGGACGGCCTCATACTTTACGGGGGAGGGCAAGCCAATTACTGGATTTTTTACGGGCGGAAATTTCGGGGAGAAATGCTGGGGAGTTAATTGGAAATTTTGTTGGTTTTAGGCAATTCTAGGGAAGAATTCCACAGCTTTCCTCATTTTTTTCAGTTCATTCCTCGACGTGAATTTTATATCCTCCGGTTTTCATTTAAAATCTTGAACAGTTTTTTTGCTGTTGAGTGCAAAATCGAAGAGAAAAAATTGAGAAAATTATGTTCGTTTTAGGAATTTTAGTGAAGAATAGAAACAAAATTAATTGGAGAGCAAGCCAATCACTGGATTTTTTACGGACGGAAATTTCGGGGAGAAATGCTGGGAGTTAATTGGAAATTTTGTTGTTTTTAGGCGATTCTAAAATGTTGAACAGTTTTTTTGCTGTTGAGTGCAAAATCGAAGAGAAAAAATTGAGAAAATTATGTTCGTTTTAGGAATTTTAGTGAAAAATAGAAACAAAATTAATTGGAGAGCAGGCCAATCACTGGATTTTTTACGGACGGAAATTTCGGGGAGAAATGTTGGGAATTTATTTGGAAATTATGGTTGTTTTTAGGCGATTCTAGTGAAGAATTCCACAGGTTTACTGCATTTTTTAGTGAAAATGTTCAATGGATAGAATTTCATATTCGTCATTCCTTTCATTTGATTCTTCGGCGTAAATTTTCTATTCTGTTTTCATTAAAAAAGTCAAACAATTTTTTCGCTTCTGAGTGCAAAATTCAAGAGAAAAAATTGAAAAAATTATCTTCATTCTAAAAAAATTTTACTCAATTTATTTAATTAACTTAATTTTAAAATGAACATAATTTCACTCAGAAAAGTAAAAAAACAAATCGAAATTTAATAAAATTTCCGTCCACCGAAACAATTCACTCAGAATAATGAAAACTGTTTTATTAATAAAAAATGAAAATTGTTCAATCACGTGAGTACTCTATATTTCCTTCTTCCAGGGAGTGATTATATAGCTTCTCAGACGACCTCGAAGGAACAGACTCCTCAAAATACGTTTGATAAAGTACAGTGTCACAAATAAAATGGATAAATATTGAATCCAAGCCCATTTGATCTCCTCCCATATGGCGGGCTGATAATACAACAGTTGCTCGCGATAAAAAATCTCCGCCGATATCGTGATCGGCATATCGTCGGCGAAACCCGTCTGTCGCATCATTTTTATATTCATCAATTCCGCTGAAACTGGAGATGAAAACGTGATAAGGTCATATTCGAAAGAATCGTGAGGGAAATCCTTGAAACTTACATGTTTTTTTCGCGTAGTGGGATAACACTTCGTCCAAGGAATACTCCGTTAGCTCAACAGTTTTGTTATTCGGAATTTCGGGGAAATTATCTCTGCGAATCACTCCTTTTTGATTAAGTTTTAAGTTTCCTACTATTGATAGCTGTTGACAGTCCTGAGGTAATGTCGCGTCGAACGCTACGAGAGTCTCAGCTTTATGCTGAATTATATCCTGAGAATGCAAAGTAATTAAACAGAATTGAAGAAATATGCGATAGAAATAATAATGTTCCATCAGATCTTATTCTTTTTTTGCTCCAGTATCCACTAAATTCGCTGGAAAAATCTATTGGATTTTTATTGACTTTTCTATCAGTTTTTCTATTCTTTAGTATTTTTTTAAACTGCCTCTGGAGGTGATTTAAGAATGTGAATGTTTTTTTTTCATGATAAAGTTAATCGCAATAGTCTCAGCAGAAATGAATAAACTAATTTTTCCTTATACACAGGCTCTTATGAAATTTATGTTCAAATTGATAATTCACCTATTAGAAGACTCTAAAAATAGAAATAAAAATAGAAGGGAATGTGTAAAATCATACTGAATCCAATGGCCAGAGAAAAATCTGGAGTACCCGGGCAAAAGGAGGAAATATTTGAATGATTCTGTCCCACATAAGCGCATGTTAGCGCATGCATTTGGTGCATTTTGTCTATTTCACTTCTAAATAATGAACATGGCTTGGTAGATTGAAATTTGCATCAAAGTGAAGAGAATGTCTTCATCTCTCAGTTTGAAAACATCAATTTTTTTAAGTACTTGCGATTTTGGATAAACATACTTAACTTACCTTCAGTTGAAATTCAAACCACAACAACAGCTTAACAGACCTTATTGCCTGATCACTCCAGAATTTAGTTTCAAATTTCAAAACATCCCTTATCAGGTCTTTATTAACGTCGCCTTCCCGCACCTAGTGACAGCCCAAAATTAATCTCACGAATTCACGGAAATTCAGGGTTGCGTTACCTTGACAGTAATGCAGTCGTCTTTAATCGAAATCCCCTGGTAAGTCGAGAAGGTCGAGCAGACAATCGGTGCCGCATAAAGATCCCTCTCCGCCAACAAGAGATACTTATACGTAAATCGAATCCTGGGAGTCTCCAAGTACATTCGATTCTTCAACCAAAACCCTGAACAATTGAACAAAAATAAACGAGTGAAGACCGAAGCAATTCATCACCTCTCACACCATCAAACAATTACCTCCAGCATTATAAGCAATGATCACCGGTAAAACAATGGCAACAGTCATCAATAAATAAACAACTGAAGTGCTGATGGCAAATAGACGCGTTTTTATTTTCAACTCAACGGGAATGGAAAAAAGATCGAGGATCGGCATTTTGAGTGTGGCATTGCGTTTTTGTTTGTTTTCAATCGCCCGTTGCCATGGTAATACATCTGGCGTCGGACTTCCTCGGGCTCAGGCCAGATGACAAGGGAAATAAATGTGGGAATGGAAAAAAGGGACTAGTGGGGACTGATCGCAGCGTTGGTAGAATTTTTTGCAGCATTTGATTTCTCGTGGCTCGAAAACTATCCGACACATTGCACCCAAAAATAAAAAGGAGAGGGTTAATGACTCGGAACCTCATCAATTTCAAAGATGATCCCATTTAATCAACAGTTCAATGACTTCAGTAGTGAAGTGGTCAAACGGTTCGTCTGTTTTTTAAATTATTAAGTATTAGAAATCAATTTATAAGGTTTATTAGCTATAAATTAAATATAATATGCAATATATTTTATTGTAAACGGTTCAAGTCAATTCCATTCTAGCGCCAGTTCTCGATGAATATCTCAAACTCTAAAGGAGTTGACGAAATTTTTCTAAAAATCTTTTTTGTGAAGAACAGTGAAGACTATCAAAAAACATATTGCAAAAATTTCGCTATCAAAAGCGAAATAATATTAAAAATAAATTTCTTAAATTCGGAGTTATTCAATGAAAACTCAACTGGGAGTTGAGTCGACTTGAACCGATTGACCACTTCACTACTGAATTATTAATATTTCAGAAAATGTCAAGAGCCCACATTGCCAGCAATAATAATTGTAAAAAGACAATCAATTGCGAGGAAAAATGAATGATTATTCACCAAATCCAGTGCCCCTGCTGTACAAAAAACATCACATTTTATTCGTAAAAAATAGCTCGACGAATGAATATTCAAGTTATGTTATCGAGGTCTATGTTCTCAAAATCCTCGTCATCGTCCTCCAATAATTTAGCGAGATCCTCAGACACCGAGACATTATCACATTCGGCAGTCTTCTGAGGGCTCTCAACTGAGGTAGAACTACCGCGCGACGTATTAGTCTGCGGTTTGTCGGAGAATGCCTCCATGGGGGTCAGGAATTCCTCCTGCTGGCTCAGCGAGATCGTTTGGGAGAATCCGAAGGACTCCAAGGTCCCTCGCTTATCGTCGGTGGTGGAGGGCTCGTCGTTCGGTTGATGCATCAGTTCAGCTTGGGAGAGGGAGAAGTTCTGGTCCAAGCCAGCGTTCTTCAGGAAATTAGCTTTGGTCTGCAGCAGCGGCCAGAGGATGTCATCTACTGTGCCTTTCGCTATCAAATACTGGATTATCACGTAGTTTCGTTGACCAATGCGATGGGCTCTGGCTTCAGCTTGACTCAGCTCCTGCATAAATGAACAAACAAATGAGACAGAATGATTTGATGTGAATTCAGTAGCGAAGTGGTAAAACGGTACAAGTCAATTTTGACTATTGACCAGATTTCAATGAATATCTCGGAATCTAAGGGAGATAGCAAAATTTTTGTTATAACCTTTTTTGCAGAGCTGATTGAGAGCTACAAAAAATGTAATTACGAAAATTTTGCTGTCTCCCTTAGATTCGGAGATATTCCTCAAAAACTCAACTGGGAGATGAGTCGACTTAAACCGTTCTACCACTTCGCTACTGAATTGTTTTGTCTGTCGTTAGTGCCAATAAAAAACGTTAAAAATTATTCAAAACTGTCCATTTTTTCTTAAATTGACTTAATCATGGCCTGATGGCTTAATTGGATTGATTAACGCAAAAAACATGAATAATTTAATGAATAAATGAAAATAGATTCAGAAAATGAATGAAATCTCACCGCAGGATTCCAATAGAGCTCAGCAAAGACAACGAGACTGGCAGCAGTGAGCGTAAGTCCAGAATTAGCAGCAGTTATGGACAAGACAGCAACCAGACAATCAGATGACTCTTGAAATTGATCAACATTTCGTTTTCTGATGTCTGCATTTGTCTTGCCATCGATACGAATATATTTGACTTTATTCTTATCCAAAACCTCTGAGATTTTGTCGAGGACACACTGGTGGTGGGCGAAAATGAGGAATTTTTGCTTCTTGTCGATCAGGTCCTTGACGTAATTCGCAACAGCAGTCAGCCTCAGTTTACTGGACTCCGAGTAGTACCTCAACAACTCGGCGTGCTTTTCGAAGCCTTTCAACGTATTTTCTTGGAGTTTCTCGGCCATTTTCTTCATCTCTTTCGTCCCCTCTTTGATCAATTCAGGGTCGAGCATGACGACTTGTCGTATTTTATCGGGGAGCTGTGTCAATACCTCTGATTTCAATCGTCTGATCAGGAAGGAGGCTTTCAGGAGTAACTGCAGTTCTGTGGTGTTGCAAACTCCCGAATAATCCCATCCAAAGTGGCCCCTTTTGGCCTCGCAGTATCGAATCCCGTAGTCTTTGAGTTCTATCCACTTAGGATTCACCAGGCATATCTGGGAGAAGAGCTCGATGGGCCTCGACAGGGCTGGAGTCCCAGTCAACAGCAGGACGTGCCTTGCTGCTGATGATATTTTCTTGGCTGCTTTTGTTCTGTCGGTTTTGTGGCTTTTCAGGGTGTGGGACTCATCCTGAAATACAATAATATTCTTAAAATTCATGCTAATTGACATCTCGCACCCAATTTCCCGTTTTAAAATTTTTAAAGTCCTTTTTTCATTTAAAAAATTGAATTTAAGGTCCCGGTGGATTATCTTTCGAACGTTATCTCGTTAAAGATTAAGAAATAAGTTCGATAGAGAGGAAATGGTGAATGGATAATTTATCATGGTAACTAACGATCTGACAGCCATTGACTACTGCGACAAATGACGACCTAACAGCCATTAGACACATCAAATTATTAATTTGCAATATTATTCAAAAACCCTCTTTGAAAATGTTCGCTTTTTTTGGTTGTGCAGTCATAATTTTTCGAGACTCCAGGGCTATGCAACACTGAATATCAATTGGAGATCATTTCAGATTATCAAAATAAAAAAAACAATCATGATCACGTTCGAAAGATAATCCACCCGGGCCTTAACAGAAAGGAAAATGCAAATAAAAAGCTGAAGGGTCAAAAAATACTGCTCGTCTGGCCTCTTGTCCTCATAAATGTGAAAATGATGAGAGAAAATATTAAAAACGCCGTGACATTAAAACAAAAACAACCTCTGAATACTCACAAAGATGACGAAGCCAAATGACTTCTTCTCAAACGTGGTAATATTCCTGGACAACAAATCATAAGAAACAATCGTAATCTTCTCTTTCTCGAGGCGATCCCTGCCACTAGTGTAATGAAAGATGTGCTGGTAGGGGACTGACGGCAGAAAATCGTGAATAGCCTCTGACCACTGGTACCTTATCGAGGACGGTGTGACGATGAGCAGTGGCCAGCTCGCTTTGAAGTAATGTGCAATCCCCAGGGCTTGGATCGTCTTGCCCAGCCCCATCTCATCGGCGATCATGCACCGGCCATTCTTCTGGATTCCAAAGAGGATTCCGTCCCGCTGGAAAGGCATCAACTTGGAGATCAGCGTGTTGTCTATCCTCGACAGATCTGCCTCAGTCGTCTCGGGCTTCCTCTTCAACTCGGTCTTGAACGTTTGGAGGACGAACTGAGGGATCCCAGAGACGTCGACGTGCCCAGTGAACTGCGATTTGATTCCGTTGATCAGTTGGGAGTAATCGTTGATGTGGAAATTCCAGAGTCTCGTTTTCTGATCGTACGCCCTCGTGGCCATTGTCTTGAAGAAGTCGATCAGCTGCGCGTGGTAGGGCACCTCCACCTCGAACCGAGTGCTGGTCACCATTCTGCATGTCGCCTTGATCCTCTCTGTGGTGCCGAAAAAAGTGTCGGGTTGGATCGTGTTCACGTTCTTGAAGTGTTTAGGTTTACTTCCAGTTGACTGATTGGACTCCCGTTTTCTCTTGACACCAGGGGGGGAATTGTCACAGGTTAACTTGAGTTGATTTCCTGGCTGGGGTTTACTCTGTGACTGGGGCTTCGCCACTGACTGTGTGCTGTTGAAGGGAGGTGGCTTTGGGGTCACGGGGTTCACTGGGTGAGGGTGAGGGACTCGATTTTGGTTCAGCTGGGCCTTTTTTTGCTGCGCCAGCAGTCTCTTCTTCTCAATTTCCGCGGGGGAATACATTTCTGGGGTTTTTCGGGGAACGGGACGGATTGACTGGCAGAAAAACACGTTCACTGGGGCAGGAGGGTCTCGATTAACCTTACTTTCATCATTGTTTGAACGATAGGATAGGGGACGTACCAGGGATGCGAGTTCTGACTTATAATTTTTTGGTTCAACTCAGCGCGAGAACCGTCAATTCACACGATTTTGGGAACTGAACATTTTCGGGCATTTTGCGTTTGTTGTTGCCGGGTATAAACAGAAACACATGGAAACACACTCATAGGATTTTGTGTTTTGTGTGGAATGTAAGTTCGTTACTAGGAGAGACGCGTGCGCGCGCCTATCTGGTCGTTGTGAAAATGAAGACATCGAATTTGTTGAAGTTCATATACTCACGGATGTTTTATAAATGTTGATAATGACTTGAAGAGAATTAGCAGAATGAAGAGTGAAACATCAATGAATGATTTTTAATCTTCGATTAATTCTTTTTTTTACTTTTTAAAATAATCTGATTAAAATCTGTAATTGTTGAAAAATGAGGGGAGGGTTATGAATTGATTTCCTAGAAAACTGAAAAAATTTCTTGAATTCTTCGGAAAATTTCGCAGTTCTCCGGATAATTGTAGATCTTCAGAGATTTTTCTCGAATTATTTGGGAAATCGAAGAATTTTCATGGATTTTGTAGAGTTTAGAATTTTTGTATGAAAATCTGAGAAACAAGAATTGATCATTTTTGCGTATGAGAAATATGAAAAAATTAAAATTTGGGAAGTGAAGAATAATTCGTGAAGAATAATTCGTGAAGAATAATTCGTTTTTAAAATAATTTGATTAAAATCTGTAATTGTTGAAAAATGAGGGGAGGGTTATGAATTGATTTCCTAGAAAACTGAAAAAATTTCTTGAATTCTTCGAAAAATTTCACAGTTTTCCAGATAATTGCAGATCTTCAAAGATTTTTCTCGAATTATTTGGGAAATCGCAGAATTTTCACGAATTTTGTAGAGTTTAGAATTTTTGTATGAAAATCTGAGAAACAAGAATTGATCATTTTTGCGTATGAGAAATATGGAAAAATTGAAATTTGGGAAGTGAAGAATAATTCGTGAATTGAAAAAATTTAGAAAAACTATTTTTTTCTCATGATCAACAATTCGGAAATTTAGATATGTTTTGATATAAAAATAAACTTCACACATGAAAAAATGATAAATATGACGCAGAAAATTTTTTTGGCATTTGAAGAATTTGGAAATACCGGGGATTTTTTTCAGCGACCACTTCACGCGACTCATTGACCAATCAGAATTGAGGATTAGCGGTCAGCCAGTCTCGAGAGATATTTCGAGATATTTCGATATAAAACAACTTCACCTTTCTTTCATCTTAAGGACTCACCAGATAACACTTCAATGAATAACAAGCTCCAGAAAATCCGAGAGATGGCGTTGCAAAAAAAAATCCAACTATTCTTATTATGTTTGTAGCCGCCAGCTTCCCGGTTAATTACCAGGAGATCGCAAATTGATAGCAGTAAAACTGTCATTCGGTTTCAATAACACCCAGAGGTGAATAACAAATTGTTGAATAATAATGTGAAAGTTCTTACCCACAAAGTCATTTCTATCACTCTTATAGACGAAATGTCAGTGCCAGGAGCTCATCTGGTTGAGCATGGGGTTGTTGGTACGTCGAATCTTCCCAAATTACCAGTAATTACTGCGTTAATTCATTTACGAAATAATAAACAATTTTCAGGGAAGGATCACGTGTTCGAGGTGCCAACGAAGGCGATCAAAACCCCAGAGGATATGGCGACGTGGGAAAAATCAGAAGCCTATAATGTAAGCATGACACACCTCTCATTTTCGAATTTTTCCTCGATGCATATGAATAGGGGCGGGTGGGGCAAAATGGACACGTTTTCTAATGTTCATAACTCTGAAATAAATTCATCGATTGAACTCAGTGGAGACCCATCACAAAGAGGGAGAATTGTAATTTACAGGGAAAAATAATGATCTCATTTCATCAAGAGTTCACTGAATTATTGATATTTCACGTTTTTTTCAGGAATACTTGGGGTTCATATTGGCTCTGAATGAGGCTGTCCAGGGGAAAGCTGCCAACTCAGAGTATCCAGCATCTCAAACAGTTTTAAACACAATTGTTATGTTGGATAATTTCGATCAATGGCTGACAGAAATTCCACCGACAGATCAGCCCCAGAGATTTGGGAATAAATCGTTTCGTGACTGGCATGCACGACTCCTAGAGGTCAGAAATCAAAAACAAATCTCATCACTATTTCTCCACAAAATCCACTGCTGACATTTTCTCATTCTGCCCCACTCGTCCTATCATTAATAATCAATAATTAATTATGCTTCTTTCATTAGAGGAGTGCAGATGAACTGAAAAAAGTATTACCCGAGGATTTGCACAGATCAGTTCCTGAACTGAGTCAATATCTCTGTGAAGGATTCGGAAATGCAACGAGAATCGACTATGGCACAGGTCATGAGATGGCCTTCATCATGTTTCTGTGTTGTCTGTTTAAAATAGGAGCTTATCAGTCTGATGATAAAGTTGCTGCTGTCAATAAGGTTTTCAACAGGTACTTTTTTCGTTTTTTCGCAAGCCTAGAGGATTTATTTACACTATCAACAGTGTTCTCTTCATTGTAATGTGAATATTTTCACATTTTTTTCTCTCGTCTGAGATTTACAATGAAGTTCTTAGGTATTTATTCTATTATTTACGAAGAAAATGCGCATTTTACGGATTTTGGATCTGTTGTTTTTAATAAGGGGCTATTCTATCAAAAATGGAAAACAAAACTTGCAGTATTGGCGTTCTCGATTGGTTTCAGATACATGGAATTGATAAGACGACTGCAGCTGGTGTACAGAATGGAACCAGCAGGCAGTCACGGTGTGTGGAGTCTCGATGATTATCAATTTGTCCCTTTCGTCTGGGGAAGTGCCCAGCTGATTGGTAAATTCCCACAAAATTGAAGTCCTAAAAAGAATAAATCACAATTTTACAAATTTTTGTTTCTTGTTATGAAGGGCATCCTAGGATTGAGCCCCGTCATTTCGTAGATCCAGGGATAGTCGAAGCATACAGCAAACATTATTTATTCTTGTCATCCATTGAGTTCATCTCGAAGGTGAGAACGGGCTGGACAACAGTTGAAGAGTGCCATTTTCGAAATCCAAGTGCTATTTTGATGAATTCTAATTTAATTTTTTATATGCAGGTGAAAATTGGCCCATTCGCTGAGCATTCCAATCAATTATGGAATGTAAGTGCTGTTCAGTCCTGGTCGAGAGTCAATGCAGGTCTCATAAGAATGTATAAAGCAGAGGTAACAATCCACAAGGCATTTTAAAAGATTCTCTTAAAACATAATTTTATTGTTAAAATATCCAGCCAACTGTCGCATATACGATGAGTTGACAAATATAGTAATTTTTTCCCTCCAATATTCCTTGATTTTACATCTAAAACCGAACATATTTTAAGGATGAACACAAATATCGTTTAATTTATCATAATGAAACACCATTTAATTCATTTTGTTTTTAGGTTTTATTGAAATTCCCGGTGATTCAGCACGTACTATTCGGCTCTCTGTTCACTCTCAAGCCAGCCCCAACAGGTCCAATGTACAAAGGCGCCTGTCTCGTACCACCAGGACCGGCCCAGGCGCCTAAATAATTATCCCATCGTGTGATTATAATTGCGATAGTAGATAAGTCAAGAGAAATGCCTCACAATGAGATTTATCGAAATAAATATATTTTCCCGGTCATTCCGTGCACATTATACTGTACATTGGGTGAACTACCATTAGATGGACGTTTGTTTTTTAGCAATTGAAAAAAAATAATCGAAAAAAAAATCGCCATTCAGGGGTTAGTCATTACAACAGTTGGTGAAAATTAAAAATAATAATTCACATTTCAGAATCTTTTTGCGTAATTTCCTATCCAAAAGTAGCTCGTCCATCTACTGGGTAGCTTACCCTACTTGATTATATTTACCACTCGTCTTCGTCCATGTGAACGCACCATTACAAGGCTCAGTTGCTATAGCAACTTGTGCCGGTGGAAACTTGTGTTTATTAGGTTTTTTGTTGTTGCGTTTTTCACATGCGATTCATTCGTCATCATGAAAGCGTTCTTCATTGTTTTTCTGTTGTTTATCGTAAGTAGTGATACGTTGTCGAATCAAGTGGACGTGGACAGCAATGGATACATTGTTTATTGCCCCTGTATGGGTAAGTATGTGAAATTGAGATAAGATATTGACTTGCTCAAAAAAAAAACACAAAAATTCCATTTTAATTATGTTAAATTCAATTTACCTTTTTTTATTTCATGTCGATAATTGAGCTTTTTAATGGGTTCCATTTAATAGATAGATAGAGGTTAAGATGGCGATTGGAGTGTGGATATGCTCCAAAAAGACAAAAATTAAATTGTTGTTCAAATTAAATTAAATGAATAATTCAAATTTAATTCAATTTAAATTAATTTTAAGTTGAAAAACTTAATTGTTAATTTTTAATTGTTTTCTTATTTTTCATTTAATTTTTGTTTTTTATTTTTAATTAAATTAATTCAATTTATATGTAATAATTTTATTATAAATTAGTATTTTAATTAAATCATCATTATCATCTTGACTCCTATCCATCCATCAACGCAAAAATAATTCAAATTTAATTAAATTTAGGTAATTTAGTAGTCAAGATGATGATGATTTTAAGGAACATGATCTCATGTGTTTTGTAAAGAGAAATAATTTTTATGCTCATTAGGACGGTTCGGTAACCAGGCAGATCACTTTCTGGGTGCTCTCGGCTTCGCCAAAGCTCTCAATCGAACATTTGTCATTCCTCCCTGGGTGGAATACAGGACTGGAGAGGCTGCTTCCGTAAGATTTCTTCCCAATAATTTCTGCTCACAGTAGGAATGAATAGAAAGCCTCATTTTTTGCAGATGCAAGTCCCCTACGACACATATTTCAATGTAACGGAGTTGGAAAAATGTCATAAAGTCATTCTAATGGAGAAATTTATGGAGGAGCTGGCACCTCTAGTGTGGCCAGCCTCACAGAGGATATGTAAGATACTCGTACTGCATTCTCCCTCGTCCTTTATTTATTTATGTTAAACAACTCCTCCCTTCATGTCACAGTAAATTGAAAACAATTACACTGTTGGAAAATTACTCTTGAAATTTCAAGAAAAAAATCTTGAAATTTTTAACAGCGAATAATTCACATGGAATTTCTATTGATCTTGTTATTGATCAGTCAAATCAGTCTATTTTCTTGAACATTTAATGAAATTTGATTCCTCAGGTTCATACGACGATGAAAATCACTGAAAATCGTGAAAATTCCGGTAACTGTTCTTCTCAATTTCTAATCTCTTGAAAATCCAATTGAATACTTAATTTTCATGATAGATGTGGAAATCCAAATTGTCATTGAAAATTCAATGATCATTCACCATGAAAAACTTAATTTTATTGAATTTCCAAGACGAATCAGGAATTCCATAGCAATTTAGCCTAAAATGAATTCAAGTTCCGAATATTGAAAATTCAAATGCATTTAGGGGAGCATGGGGCAAAATGAAACACGGGGCAAAATGAAACAGTGGGAAAATCTCGTCATCTAAAGGAGATAGGACATTTTTGAAGAGGACCTTTCTTGTAGCTTGTAAAATTCTCTACAAAAAAGGTTTCCATGAAAATCGTTCTATCTCCCTTAGATCACAAGATTTTCTTGCTGTTTCATTTTGCCCCGTGTTTCATTTTGCCCCACCGTCCCCTACTATTCCTTAAATTTCAAAAAATTTCTAAGTGTAGTTGATAAATTTACTTTAGCGTTTTGTTATTCACCACGTGGAAGCGAGGACACCTGCAACGCCAAGGAGGGAAGCCCCTTCGGTCCCTTCTGGAACAGATTCAACGTAGACTTCGTAGATTCAGAGTTTTACGGGCCCTTCCACTATGACGTGTACCACACTGATATTGCAAGCCAGTGGAAGAGAAAATATCCATCGATTTCCTGGCCAGTGCTGGCGTTCACTGGTGCTCCAGCGAGTTTTCCAGTGCAATTGGAGAACAAATACCTCCAGAAGTGCGTGGTGTGGAACGACGAATTGCAGAAGAAGGCGAGGAAGTTTATAAAAGAGACTTTGCCCAAGGGCGCCTTCATCGGGATTCACCTCAGAAATGGAATTGACTGGGTAAACACGCAATTTTTACCTCGACAGTCGCTCGAAAAATTCATTCATCATTAAATTTCAAATTTGCTGTGACGATAATTCCAGGTGAGGGCCTGCGAGTTCATCTCAAGCACCCCCAACTTATTTGCTGGCCCTCAGTGCCTGGGATACAGGAATGAGAGGGGGAAGGCAACCCCAGGAATGTGCCTGCCTTCTTTGGAGCTCATTCTCAAGCACATTAAACGAGTCATTAGGAATGGGAAGAATATAAAATCAGTCTTCGTCGCATCTGACAGTAATTACATGATTGGGGATCTCTCGAAAGCACTTTCGAGGATGGAAGTGAGTACTACGGGAAAGTAGGGTAAAATGGAAACTTCAGGCATTTTTAGAAATGTTGATGACTTCATAAAAAATACTCTGAGGAAAAAAATATTTTATTAGCAATTGAATAAGGAATTTGAATTCAACTGTTGTCATTTGGAAAAAAATAGTGTCCATTTTGCCCCTCCCTCTGCGAAAAATTAATGAAAATGGAAATGATTATTAAACACCTGAAGACTCAAAATTTCCTGGGGGAAAAAATTTGTTTTAATAATTTTATTTTTCATCTCAGATCACTGTGCATAGACAGCCCGACCCAGTGTCTCCACACCTCGACCTAGCAATTCTAGGAAGAGCTAATTATTTTATAGGAAACTGTATTTCTTCATACAGTGCATTTGTCGCGAGGGAACGAGATGTCAAGGGATATCCAACGTTCTTCTGGGGCTTCCCTCCGGAAAGATCATCTACCTCAACACCACGAGAAGAATTATGAAAAATTCATTCGCCGTGAACACTAATATTCATTCATTCAATTTTTCATGTACATTGTTGACGTTAAAAATGATTTCGACGTAAGAATAAAGAATTGCCAAGGATTTTTGCTTTCGAATGGAAGCTTTGTGATCGTTCAAATTTAATTTGTGGATTTTTTGTTTTATTATGATAAAAAAAGTCCGAAGAGGCTATTTTTAGACCCTGCCCGCATGTACGTGAACAAGTCATTCTTTAATTATTCGCTAATGAATCGATGGAATTTAATCATTTTTCTTTTTCACGTGTAGGTGTCGTTGAGCCCTATTCGTCGAGATGAATAGAAATTCAATTCATATTTTAATTTTTATAATTGCCGATTTTTTTTTCGGTGGTCTCACGATTATTAAAAACAAAATATTCCGAATTAATTGGTTGATGGCAAAAAAACAATTGTTTAACACAATTCAAGCAAAATTTTTTTTTTTTCATTTTTTTTTAATAATTTTTTTTTTATTAAATTTTTTTTTTTCTCAATTTTTTTTTATTCTTGGGAGTACTGATGAAAATAATTTACCATTCAGTAGAAAAGAAAATAATTGAAAAATTTTTTAGAACGAAGATTTTGTCAGTGGATTATTTGAAGACAAATCAATTTCCACTCGTTTAAATACGAGATAATAGAGATTCCCATCGTACCATGTTGCTCTACATTACCAACATAACGCCCACGACTCGGCCATATTCTTGGAAGAAGCGAGACAGCGAAATAACAAAAAAAGAGAGCACCGAGTGAAGAGGGCGTTGGGCCAGCCAAGCGCTCGCTCCACGCACTCCTGTGGAGTCCCATGTAGCGTTCGTTCGTTGGTCGCACATATTTCATTTTTATTCATCACCAAATACCCCCTTTAACCCGATCCACTCAATCAACTCCCACCGAACATCGTAACGCGTGCGATAATTGTATTAGAGTCATCAAGAATCGATTTCCACCAGTGGGATAAATAGATCTCGATCTCAGAATTCTTGGTACTCACATCAGTGCAACGACACTGCTGGGTCGTTGACCATATACGTGCTACATCAAATCACAAACCGAATAATAACAATAACATTGAATTTATTCGGAGTTGATAAATCGTGAGACAGTTTGGAGATTTGCTCATCAGTGCGAGTTGAAGATATCCAGAGGATTTATTGTTGTTGCGACGCAGCTGTTCAGGTACGAATGTCAAAAATTTACTTCACTCCAGTCACTGAAGCAGGTCATTACCTAATCTCACACTTTCAGTTAGTATAGTCGTTCGTAACATCGATAAACACTGAAAATTCCTCTAGTGAAAAACTCGTGATGCTGATAAATAACTCCAATTATTTAATTACGAAGATATTGAGTGGAGAAAATAACACTAGGGGAGGGTGGGGTAATGTGGACACTTTTGAGTTCTTTTCCAATTCTCTCCATGAAAAAGAAAACAATCACGTTTCATGGTGTTGGAATATTCGAGCACAGCTCTTTTATTATTGCACAAAAACTACTCGACAAAAAAAGTCTAAAATATATTATAAACTATAAAAATATATTTATATTATAGCTAGGGGAGGGTGGGGTAAAAGGGGCACTTGAGACTTTTTTAAAATTATTCATACCTCAGAAACAAATTGATCAATTGAGCTAGGCTCGTCACAGAGGGAAAGAATTGTTCTTTGTATTGAAAAAAAATGATTAAATTTTATCAACATTTCAACCCTCATTACAGAAGTCCCTTCGTCGTGCAACTAAATAGATTTTAATAAAGTGCCTCATTCTTTTGCCACATTTATTTATTCACTTGCCCCCGCACTCCATCACATGGAAAATTAATTGAGCCATTGAGATAAAAAAAAAACGTCAAAAGTGTTCCTTTTGCCTCATCAGCCCCTAGTTGCAACGAAAAACTGAATTGGCTTTGATGTATCCTAGGATTGTGCCAAAAAGAAATAATTCAAGATTGAAAAATGGAGGGAGCCCTCACGGAATTCGAGGAGAGTGTATCCTTCGACGTGGACGATCCAGATTTTGCACCAAGTACCCTCCTTAAAGAAACAAGGACGCAAGCTGCCTTAGACCTTTACATCCCGGGAATGACTGTCTCCATGACGAAACGTGAGCACTGGACCGATTTTTCAATTCATATTTTATGAACAATCGTTCGTTGACTCTCAAATTTCTCCACTTTCGGTTTATTTATTTATTCAACATTCGACAAAGTTACAATCAGATTATTCACTACTCTGACTGCCACTGATTCGCAAACGCGAGCACGACACCTCGTGTATCTTATAACATCGTTTCATCGTTTTCTCGTTTACGTCAGAGCAAAAAATGTGATCTTATCACTCATCGCGATTTTTTGCCTCGGGGGCGATACATTTGATTGTGAATTGTGAGTGATTAGAATACACTCGCAGGATGTCTGCAGCATTAACATGTGACTTCTTATCTTCTAACTCCCCTCGTGCACTTAGTTCCATGATGAAATTCAATGTTCGAATAAACATCGCGCTCTTGCGTCCTTATGGCCCGGAGATAGTAAAATGTTAATCGCCCGACGTCTAGCTGCTGAGTACTTTGACACAACCATTATAATATTGACCGATGATTATCATTTCGCAGAGTCAATGAAAATACTTCACCTATTGAACGTTCGTTGATTGAACTTTGTTCAAACTAATGCATTCTTTTTCGCTGTCGTCGAATCAAAGTTCTTTCAAGTTTCTAATCGAGTCTTTGATGACGCGAGGATTTCCGAATACATTTTTTAAAAATTCTTTCATACAAAAAATCATTGTTTTATCATTTTTCCGTGCAACCGTTATAATATTGACCGATGATTATCATTTCGCAGAGTCAATGAAAATACTTCACCTATTGAACGTTCGTTGATTGAACTTTGTTCAAACTAATGCATTCTTTTTCCCTGTCGTCGAATCAAAGTTCTTTCAAGTTTCTAATCGAGTCTTTGATGACGCGAGGATTTCCGAATACATTTTTTAAAAATTCTTTCATACAAAAAATCATTGTTTTATCATTTTTCCGTGCAACCGTTATAATATTGACCGATGATTATCATTTCGCAGAGTCAATGAAAATACTTCACCTATTGAACGTTTGTCGATTGAACTTTATTCAAACGAATGTATTCTTTTCGACTCTTCGATGATTTTCAAAGCTATAGATAATTTTTTTAAATGAATTCAGGCAAGAAAAACTCTCCAAAAGTTCGAGCAATGTCTATCATTTCCTCACGAGAATAGAATTCCTCTAAAACGAAGGGAATTACTCTTACACAACACCAAATCTAAAGGGCGCTCCTTACAAAACTGTGAAAGGTACTTGATGATAAATTTACGATATGTCATAACGGGAAAAGAAAGTTGCCGTCAGAAATCAGTAACGAAAGTTCACATGAGCAATCAGTGATGAAAGTTTAGATCCCAAATCGAATTACATCGATTAATGAGTTGAATGACTTCAAATCGCGCGACAGAGTGAAATTACAGATTTCTGAGTATAAAAATAAATGGTCGTTACGTGAAAATGGATAGGGCATCGTATAATGTGGAGAGATATTGTGGCATCGAGTGACCACATGTGTGGCTTTATGCGGACGCATCAACCACTGGAAAAAGTCTTTCCCACTATCAGAGCATTAATTTCTCCGGTATAATTCATCGTGGATTTGGGGCATCAAAAACTGTTGCTTCGTCGTTCACAGTTGACGCGTGACTGTCCTCAAAGGTAATCGGGATCATGTAATCTGAGGCTGGAGAATAAAACAAACTTCAACGGAGACACAATTGGATACAAAACGTATCTTTTTTATTCTACGAGGAAGACTCCTTGGCGAACACGTGCGTGCGCTATCGTCTGACCTAGACGTCTGCAGAAATAAATCGTCAGGCGTTAATTTTTTGTTGATGACTCGGGGTTATCAGTTGAACTCGATTTTTATTGTCTTCTACACCGGACTTTAATTCGAAGAAAATCCTCTTCGTTCCGGACTAATAGGAGAACACAAAAGGTCTATTCTGGCAGTACTCGGAGTACGAAACGAACAGGCAAGAACTGATTAAAAAATTACGTGCAATGAAGTCTTATTCGAACATTAACGCTCTGACTGTCAGACACGATTTTGCAATGGAAAATAACTTGAGAATTTAATTGAAAACTCATCTGCATAGAAAAATGTCAATGAACATATCAAATGCGGTTGTAACTATCAATTATATATTTCTTTTTTGGCTGAATAAACCTGCGATGGGTTTCCAGCGTTAATAAAAAAATGAAAGATCTAACTCTCCGATAGTTCGAAAATTGGATTGTCGTAAGCTCGATAAACCGGAAAAGGCCGATTTTATTGAATATTTCGCAACGTTATCGTATAATTTTTCAAGAGACAATTAACAGAAAAAAAATGTAGATTTTCATTTCTCTTTTTATGGGCTCTTTTTATTTTTATTTGTTTCTCGTGATAAAATACTTTGGGCACCTAATGATGGAATCTACCGTAGCGTGTGACCTTGCACAAGCTCTTACGAAAGGTATTTTCAAATTATAAATCGATAAGACTCGAAAAATTTGAAGAAAAAACAAGGGGCATTATAAAAAGACATATTATGAAACCAATGATCAGAAAAAAGTAATCCAAGGTATCTGAACAAATAACGGACAGATCAGCCATTCAACATTGTGTTTGTTCCACTTCTTGAAAATTAATCTGGGTTAATGGGATGAAATCATCGTCAGCGTGAGAGGACAAACTTGTTCATCATTCGGGTAAAGACCATCTTGTTTTTAAATTCTTGTGATTTAGGATAAACATGTTCAGCGGTCATTCTGTCTGCGGTGGGAATGCGTTTGAAAGTTGAAGTCATCCTTAATATTCGTCTTACATTGTTGATTTCCTCATCGCGGCTTCGAGACGAGAGGGGAATGACGCAAAATCTTTCGTGTTAAACGTATTCGAGGGGTTATCGCACCCCCCGGCGACTAGCGTCGATACCACTTGAACTCTGCACATCGCGAATTTTCGATTCCAATCATTATTTTATGAGAACTTGCATCTTACAGTAATTTAGATTTATTTATCGTTATTGGAATTTTAAGAATAACGTGATAATTGGTAATTTAATTTCCCAATTATTGGTGTTATTTTTAAAATAAAAAAAATGGTGAGTAATATTAAAAATTGATTTATTTCAAATTTAACTGTAATTCAAAACGTCAATTATGCCGATGGCATTCAAATTTATCGATAAGTAATTGTTCGTTAGTTTAGAGAGGGGTTCACAACCGAATAATGTTCGCTATTTTGCTGCTATCGTTCAACTTTGAGTCATAATGTCCTAAAATAGCTATCCTGAGTGTCCGATCCAATCCACCAAAACATCTTGCCGTCTCATCATAATAAGATCCCAAGGTATGCGATGACGCAAATCGATGTGGATTTCAATGTATGCAGATATCGATAAGGTGTGAATTGTATATATCCTTATTCGTCGAAACAATTCAGGGAATCCCGAAGTTTTCGTAGAAACTCGTGAATGTGGAAGTGTTTTTTTCCTGTTTTTTTCTCTAGTAGGTGTTCACCTGTCAAGCATGACCTTTGAGTTCTTCGTATTTTTGTTGTTCGCGTGGTTCAGTATAGGGTTTTCGTACAAATGAGAAATATTGATTCAGAAACTGAATGTGAAACTGAATTTCTACGAATTTAAGGATGTTTATCCAAAATCGCAAGTATTAAAAAAAATGTTTTTTTTTTCAACTGAGAGACGAAGTTATTCCCTTAATCTTCATGAAAATTCCAATCCAACTCACGTTTATTAGATCGAAATCGAGTGGACAAAGAGGACTGAACGCATGCGTTAACACGCGCTCATATGGGATAGAATCTTTCAAAAATTTCCTGGCCATTCTATTCAGTATAGTTTTGCACATTACCTTCTACTTTTATTTCGATTTTTAGTCTTACAGTGGGTGAATTCAGTAGCGAAGCGGTAAACCGGGTTAAGTCGATTTTGACTATTGGCCAGTTTTTTACGAATATCTCGGAATCTAAAAGAGATAGAAAAATTTTTGTTGAGACCTTTTTATAGCCCTTAATTGGTTCTACAAAAAAGGTCATGAGAAAAGTTTTGCTATCTCTCTTAGGTTCTGAGATATTCATCAAAAACGGATCAAAAGTCAAAATCGACTTGACCCGGTTTACCGCTTCACTACTGAATTATAAATTGCAACATAAATCCCATAAGAGCCCGTGTATAAGGAAAAATGTTCTCATTTATTTATTCATTTTTAACATCAAAGAAGTTAGTTTCATATGCTCTGCTATCAGCCAAAAAAATTATAGAATTTTCCTTTAATTATAATTTAAATATAATTTAACCTGAGAAAATAAGGTTTGCTGAAAATGGCTAAACATCTTAGGGTTGAAATCGTGACCCATTTTTTATGATGCTCGTCTAGATGCACGGGACTCTCCATCCCGCATTCCCTCACAAGCCAGAATTGAATTTTAATATTTCGAAATTAAAAATCGAGTCAATCGGTCACGCTGTTTCGGTTAGACCTTTTTTCCTGTGTTTTTATTTCCAGAAGGCCTCAACCGACACAAACGTGGACTTTGAGTTCTTCGTATTTTTTACCCGTCTGCTCCAACACAAGGGTTACGCAAATCGATGTGGCTTTCAATATATGCAGATATCAATAAGGTGTGAATTGTGTACATCCTTGTTCGTCGAAAAAATCCAGGAAATTCCCAAGATTTCGTCGAATCTCGTGAATGTAAAAATACTTTTTTCCCTATTTTTTTCTGGGAGGTGTTCACCTGTATAAATATGACCTTTGAGGTCGCCTTGTTTGTGTTGTTCGAGAGGTCCAATGTCGAGTTCATTCAAAAAAGAAAAATATTATGTCAGATGTTTGAACGTCTGCTGTACGAGGAGTTATCGTAAGGATTGCAGAAGGTGTCACTGAATTTTATGACTTTAGGGTTGCAGTCATGGGGCAAAATGGACACATGACTTTTCTCTCAATCTCAACAACTCGTTGGGTTTGCGATGAAATAAATTTTTTCCCCGTACAAAGTACAATTGTTTCCCTTT